ATAGAAACGAGAATACAGTTATTAATTGCAGTTATCGATTATAAGCCCATAACAATAGGTCCATTATCTGGGTATATTCGAAGTCGAGCTCTCTTAGTCCTGACAGAAACTGTAAATCGGGAGTGTTAAATATTAACCTAAAGACCTAGTCTTTTACGATGATGCTTCTATCACTTGCTAGCCACCATAATACAAGTACAGCAATTTATTCATCCTTATTTCCTCTAAATATAATGCTGAAGCACCTACGTGACCAAGTAGCCACCGTCGACAATAATATCTGTGCTGGTTGCAAAGCTAGAGGCATTAGATGCAAGATAAAGGTAAGCACCTTTCATCTCTTCTAGAAGAGCCAACCGACTGAGAAAATGCTACCATTAGCACGAGATAACAGCATAAATGGCAAGGGCATCTCGAACTAGGGAGTAATGAGGAAAATAATAGGACACATACCCTATAGGAGTCTTGTTTTTGAAATGGGTTAAGAGTTCTTCTAGAACTTGATGCATGACTTCTAAGGCCACATAACCTGGAGAGACAGTATTATAGTGCGTAAACCCAACCCATTCTACTGCGAGAGATTTGCCTATAAAGTAATGGTGAGATGTCTGCTTAAGGAGTGCCGAGCCTAGTGGGCATGATCTCGACTCACAAAGATGTATGACAGCCGCCTTAGAAGCGTTGTAAGGCGCCTGCTTTAATGGGATATTTACGACATGTCTACACATGCTTGCCGTAGCGATGAAACTGCCCTGCTTAAACCCTGCAAGATTGTGGCCACCCGTTGTCGTGCCTTCTGCTGCCTGTCTTCGCTAGTGCTTTCCTGCGGCCTAGGCGTAGAAGAAGACGCCGTCGAGATTCGTGGCCATTACTTTGCAGTAGTGCGAAGTGTCACCGTCAACCGCATCGCCTTAAAGCCATGGCACGCTGCTATTGGCAACGAATACGTCGAGACGGCCGTTGAATTCTCAGACGATTTAATTAATTATTTCTTTAATATCCAGCTCCGCTGTCACGTCTAGCTTGTATGCTCGGCCTAGAAATATCAGATGAACTGATAGCAATGGCGGTCTTTCACTAGTTTGAGAAGAAAGCAAAACGTAGGCGAGGGGAATAGAGGACTCTAACACTTAAATAAACTCACATTGCACTTTGTATGTTTTCTCAATCACCTTTGCGCCCTCGATGGATTTGTCCTTGTTACTATTATAGGTAAAAGCGACGTTAGCACCTGATTCTACAAGGGCTTGAACGACTGCATGGCTAATTCCTAAAGCGGCTCCTGTTACGATGGCTGTCCTTCCTTTGAGCGAAAATAAGGGCAAGATTCGATCGGCCACTAGTGCTATAGTATTATTATGTACAAAGTCGCCTCCATTGAATATTAGGCGTGACATGGTTATTTACTAGGGACGTGAAGAGCAGCGATTCGAATGCAGGTAAAGGCAACGAGTTGACGGTTGTGTAAGGACACAGGGCACCGTATCACGAGAAGTTGCATATGGGAGTGCGAGTCGGATATAAGTCGGTACAATCCTATAGGTCTACTACGAAGGTGGAGGAGGAGGGGGTGACCGTCGACCTTGGGTGATAGGCCCTGTGTCGGAGGGAACTCGGGCGTGGTCTTTCGCGTGGGGTCACTTCGACCCAGTCGATCATTAGTGATCGCGGACCCCAATTCATATCAGCTTTCTGGCGAGAGTTCTGCCGAATCATAGGGGTCAAGATTAAGCTGTCGACAGCCTATCACAAGCAGACCGACGGGTAGACGGAAATCATGAATCGGTATATCGATCAGAGACTGAGGCCTTTCGTATCACATTACCAGGATAACTGGAGCGAGCTCATTCCCATCATGGATCGGGTGCAAATGACCCTTCCCCATGCCTCGATCGGAATGACCCCCTACCGACTCAAGTACGGAACTGATCCGCGCACTAGTTGGGACTAGGAAACCCCGAAAGCCACGACCCCTAGGGAAGTCATGAACCAGAAGGAAGCCAAAGCAGTAGCAAACCGCATGCACTCCGCATGGATTTACGCAAAGGAGAACATGGCTAAAGCACAAGAGGATATGTCTAAATACGCGAATTGACGCCGACGAGCCATTGACTGGGACGTAGGAGACAAGGTTTACCTATCGACTAAGAATCTGAAAAACCACCGCCCTAGCCGTAAGCTGGGGCAACAATGGGTCGGACCCTATACGGTACTGGAACAAATCGGACACGCCTTCCGACTAGACCTACCAAAGGGTTCCCAAATACACGACGTCTTCTCTCTAGACGTACTCATCAAGGCTCCGAATAACCCGCTGCCCGGTTAAGCAGCGCCTGAGCCAAGCAGCGAAGTCGTAGACGGCCTAGAGGAGTGGGAGGTCGAAAAGATCCTTGCCGTAAGGATCTGGCGAAAACAACTTCAATACTAGGTATCCTGGGTCGGATACGATCCGGACCCGGAATGGTACCCCGCCTCAAACTTTAAGAACTCCCCCTACAAAATCCGGGAGTTCCACGCGGAGTACCTAAACCTGCCAGGACCGCCGCAGGACCTACCCGGCTGGATCACGGAATGGGAGACAGGCAAACCAAGCTACGATCACGAGAGGCACGGCAAAGCAGAGGAAAACAGCGTCGTTGCTACCTACGACACTAAACTAAACACCCTCTAAGCCAGGGCACCCTCAGAGCCGTAGCCCTTGCGGAAGCCACCCTTCCCAAACGTCTCACCGGCGTCGCAACAAGCGGCTACCACCATGAGAGACGAAGGGTCGAAGTGACCCCACGCGAAAGACCACGCCCGAGTTCCCTCTGACACAGGGCCTATCACCCAAGGTCGACGGTCACCCCCTCCTCCTCCACCTTCGTAGTAGACCTATAGGATTGTACCGACTTATATCCGACTCGCACTCCCATATGCAACTTCTCGTGATACGGTGCCCTGTGTCCTTACAGGTTGTAAGATGAACAGAGAGGATGATATGGAAAACCTGCAGTGAACAGAGTTGTAGCGCCTGTCCTTCCGAATCCGGACGTGAGCACTAGTAGAAAATTCAGGTACTTGGCTAGTACCTAAGCTTTGCACGGTTTATCTAGATGATGTCAAGTGCAGAGGTTGGAGACTAATGGCCTGGACCAAATATCTCGGAGCTTCGTGACAAGGTGTGTTAATTGCATCCTTAAGAGCATGTGAGGATAAGCTAGCTGTAGGTATCGTATCTGTAATCTAAGAGCTATGTCCGACGCCTCTTACCCTATGGAATGGCTAGTATCCATTCGTGGAGATTAGTTCTGTCCTAATGCCGGACTTCAAACATCGGTAGACATAGATTGCGGGTTGACGAGTAGCCGGCTTTCCGTAGTGCCAAACTCCGGGCTTTGGTAAATCCGCCTCTAGCTACCATTGCCACTGTAATTGCGTATTCACTCTGTTTTACGTATTGGATTTCCCCTTAGCTGACTGGGGAGTATGCAAGAACTCCACTTAGGCTTATTAATTATTCTTCCAACTTTGCTTATCTCTAGCGACATCTTCCTGTCCGGTTTACGAAGGCTTTCATTAAAACTAAGATATTCCCGAACTTTGCATATCAACCTTAGAATCAACTAGACACCTATAATATAGCTTGAACTATGTCTTCTACGACAGAATCAACGATATACAAACTTATTTTCTCGGTACCGGTCTTGCATTTTGCGGCTGTTAAAACTGCTATCTACACTTCTAGTGCCGGCAATTTCCTAGGTTACACTAGCGTGAGCTTTTAGACTTAAGGCATGAGTGTGTTCTTGCTGAGTGGTGCGACAGAGCTAAACGAAATGGCTGAAACGAAGGTAGAGGTCTTTTGTTCTAGAAGAGTTTAAGCGGTTGCAGCCGTGGAGGCAATGAAGAAGTAAGTGATATCTTTGCTTAACGACTAGGGTTTAGGGGGATGGCATGGAAAATGGTAACTAATGTTCTATTAAGGTCACATCTGTATAAGGCTGTCTCTTATGCTGTCTTTAAGGCGGAGAATATCTAGGGACTTAGAGAAGGAAACAGCGATACTTTGAAACCATCTTCGCCTGTGACGACGGCTTGTAAGGATACCCTCATCTAAATTACGGACGCACATTCTATACTTAATAAAGAGAAAATTTGTTTTCGACTTTAGGAAACCAACTAAACTTCCTTTTTTATTTGATTCATTATGACATACCTTGCTCTCATTGTCAAGTTTAAGAAGGTCATGTAGGCGGGTTTAAATAAGATAGATAAAACCCAATCTTTAAGTCTATCTCGACAGCCTACACACTGTCTTATAGTTTATAATACATTCATTTGAGTTTGAGTACTATTTATTTCAAAAAGTCCCCTCCGGTCTCCTTTAGGAGTAGATTATACTCCGGCTAAAATTGTGCGTACATGACCTCTGAATTACTTGTAGTCTTGCTTGTATATTTTGCAGCTTCGTCGGACACGTACCTCTTCTGTAATCCACTTGCTACAGCAGCATCCGTGACAAGTTGTGTGTGATAGGCACGTTCTAGTGTAATGAAAAAGGCAGCAGCCTCGGCAACAGTACCTCTAGTAGTTAGGACGCTATGATTCTGTAAGATAATGTTCTTCTTAGTTGGGCCTAGGGCATGTACAACTCTCCTGCCTTCATCTGCAGCGAGGACTGGACTACCGAATCCCTGATATACAGCAAGGCTGTTATAAAACATACAGGAGTCTAGATTGCTAGAATTAACCACAGAATATTGAGATGTTGTAGACTATTACACACCTTGATTAAGCATTTCTAGTGGCTTTCCGAAAGTCGACCATGCCCTACCATAGGGGCTATGACAGTGGCATGCTGCATTTATATTAGGTCGAGCCTTGTGAATCTCTGAATGAATAATAAAGCTGGCTGTATTGACTTTGTGGGATGTCTTAGACAAGCAGTTCCCGTCCTTATCGACATGCATAAGATCGGAAACGTTAATCGCACCGAAGTGAACCGCGTATGGATTAATCTAAAACGTTTTTAGGTCGGTTGGATCTAGAAAAGTAAGGATGTGAAACCCTAAGAATGAAGCATGCCTATAGGATTAAATACCTCGAAGGCTGATATGACTACTTGCACCATCTGCAAACCCCATCTTTGCGAATATCCGAAACGCTGCCGCTATGTGCTCTTTCTCACGCTTTAAGAGCTCTACAACACTTGATACTTTCGAAATATCATTGAGTCGCACCATCGTGCCATCGGCAGCAGTCTTCTGTATTTCTGAACGCATTGTCGCTTTAGTTTCTTTGTTAGATTGGGTATTTCAGTGTTTTGTAAACTGTTTATTAACTTTCCTGAACCTTCTGCGCTGCTATGTGTCTCTTTTATGCTACAGATATGCAAGGCCGACTTTGGCCTTAGAACCGAAATGCCAGATGCCGCATATCCTAGCAACATGCGTCCGACTTTCTCTCATTCTCCCGTGTAATTGGAGCTTCCTTCGCACTCGTACTAGAGTTACTTCACGACTACTAGCAAATAATAGTCTGTCTAAGAGCTCGGCCTAGCTCCTTGTTAGCCTTTGTTATCCAATCGTTAATTGCAAGATCTAGCATGCCGTCTGACTAAGAGCGGGTTCATAATGATTAACCAAAGGCGGCTCTTAATAGCCGTAACCCCAACATGAACAACGTCGATCATACCCGTCCATAGCATCTGATATTATTTGAAACCCATAATTGCTCCCGGAAATTTGTTAGACGAGATGTGTAGCTGCAACTCCGAACCGCCAGATTCGGACTTCTCATCTGCTATCTGTAACTCCGAGAAACTATTTCCGGACTTCTTACCCTTAGGCGGCTACAACTCCGGGCCTATGTTTGAGATCCGCTTTTAATAAGTCCGCTTCGAGAATTGTGCCAATAACAACTTAGTTGAATGATGATGCATTACTATAATAGTGTGAAGGCTGACTCTACGTTCCCAAACCCACGATTTGCTGTTCTAGAGAGCGAGGCCTCTCGGGACCGTGTCAAGTGGATCAACCCATTCGTGAATGGGATATAGTCGTGAGTGGGTCGGAACATATGCAATCGAAGGACTCCTCACCATCTCCCCTGCCTTTAAGTGAAACTCCCATTTAAGGGCAAGGCGTGCATTTTTCGGACACGTAGATCACTGGTGAGACAACACTCAAATTTAGCCGTATTTCTATTCTCATCCAATCTCACTTGCGCTGACGCAACTCTCAATTCCAAGCCGACAATACTTTGTCTACGCCATACTAGCCCCAAGCAGGCATTAGATGATTTTTGCGAAGCAAAACTGATACAAAGTACATCGTATACACCGTGAATAAGTAGACGAACTACTCTCTCGTTGCCCGAAACGCAAGGGATCTTCGGCAGATCAATTGCCTATTTCGGGGGTAGTAGTAGTTAGTTCTCAGTAAGCGCTATACTACTCTAAAAGAGCTGCTTAGCCTGAGTTGTGAGGAGTAAGGTCATCGTAATGATAAATTGCAAATTGTCTGGTTTCGAAAGACGATTAAACTAGACTCAAGGTAGGGTAACAAAATGTTCTTCGCCTGTGGCGTGCTGACGTAAAAGTTGCTATAAAAGGCAGTTTTCGTTGCCATTTTACGCAGCTGTCTTTGTATCAGAGTCACCTTTCTAGACAGGTAATCCTTCTAGAATCTTATAAACATGTCCAATGCAACCCTGCTACAAAAGTCCCGTCTATTCCCTTCGCCACGACTAACAGCGCAAGTGTCAACGCCGCTGTCGATTCTCGATGCAACAGTCGCTCGGTTTCCACCAACTGGTGCTGTCTGGCTCTTTTGCGCCCCACGTCCGCTAGACACCATTCTTCAACCGTCATTCGTAGCTACGCTGAACTCCTTCCCGCAATGGGCAGGCCAGCTGCAATGGTCCCTAGTCCGCGATGGCGGCCTCCACACAGAGCGTTTTGGGCGCCCGATGCTAGTCCACGGCTGTGACTCTGATCCCGGAGTTGAATGGGTGATCTCAAAGGCGGCGGAGACCCTCGATTCCATCGTTCCGAGTGCGCTTGAGCGGGTAGTGGAGAAGGCAACCTGGATTTCCACAGACTTCCCAGAGCGGATATTCTTGTCTGACACGCCATTAGCACTCCACAACCTCGTCGATTATGCCGGCCTACCAGGGATGTCAGTGCAGATCACAGATTTTGCCTGTGGCGGCTATGCCATCGCTGTCAAGATAGCCCATCCACTAGCTGATGCACAGGCGCTGATGGTCTTTATGCACCAATGGGCGGCAACCTGCCGAGGATCCGCCAAATCTCCCATGGACCCTCCCATATTCAACCCAGGGTTGCTCGACTCTTATGCAGCAGGGAACATTGACGGAGACTCAGCAGACGTGGCCTTAGTTAACACAGCGCGCCTCCTGCCGCTCCATCGCTTTGACTGGTGGAACGATGCCAAGGACCCCGCCTTTCCTTCGTTCCTCGCTCCTACAGGCGAAAATTTAAAGCCTCCACTCCTAGGCGAGAATTCAAAGTCTCTTCCTCTCTCACCATCAACGTCTGCGCCATGGACCACCTGGGACTTGACACGCCCTGTGTCGCATGCTATGCTACACTTTACTGAAGAACAAATTAGTAACCTCCGTGCTATCGCCCGCGAGTCACCGGGCTGCCGTCCTAACATATCCCGCCTCGACGCCCTCCTCGCGCATATCTGGTCTTCCATCAATCGTGCACGTAACCACTCTGACTCTGCCTGCGACGTCTTCCTCAACGTAACCTTGAGTGCGCGAACTCGTGTGCAGCCTCCTCTGTCAGACTCATTCATTGGATCCCCAATTTTCCTCACGCACATTCGTGCAAGTGGCAGAGAAGCTAGTGCGTTATGTCCAGGGCCGACGGCAAGCTTAATCCGCGAGACACTCACACTATTCACTCCGGAGAAGATAGGAGCGATGCTACACGATGCTGCGTATGAGATGTCGCCACAGCGGCTGTGGCAGGCATTCTTGGGCGACCGCCATACGATTGTGACGTCGTGGCTGAGGCTGAACGTATACGACATTGATTTCAGTGGTAGCATACCGAGATATGTGCACGCTGTGATGCCAAAAATGGATGGATGCGTACAAGTCATGGACTCGAGCCATGAAATTGGGGGAGTAGATATTACCTTATATTTAGACAGCCTAGCAATGGCGAGGCTAATTCAAGAGCGGGAGAACTCTTTTTAGGCACGGAAATACAAGACAAACTCAATAGGCACAACGGGTGCCGGGCATTAGGGTTCTGGCTTTGCCACCTCCCCCAACTCTTTATTCTACCTCCGCCCTCCGCCCCCCGCTATTCATCACTCGTCTCCTGTCTTCTACTATCAGTGTGGTCTGTGATTAAACTTTTCCCACCTCTTCGGCAGATTGAATAACTGCCCTTATGGTTGTTATGTCTCGTTTCCACTTGTCCTTATTTCATCTTTTCCCCCTACCTAACTTTCATACCTTACCCATAGCAAATACTATGTTATCGACAGGGTCCTGAATTTCAAATTTCTTGCTGGCATCCTCAATATTCTCATTAGGCTGCGCTGCTGCCTAAGTAACTCCATCTACATATATTTATCACAGAACTCAGTGACTGATACTCGACGACGCATGAAGCTCATGAGCGGCTACCGCTAACAGTTCATCTTGTTGCTGCTAGTTTCCAGTACGCTAAACACTGTTGCGATCCCTTATGCTGGACTGGAGTCGGGACCAGGGCACTGTACGGTTAAGTTAGATATTGACAAGAGAACATATCCTAAGAAGGGCTTCGTATTTCAACACCGCCCATCACAGCAAATATGAGAAGCAAATAACCATATTACAACTTACTCACGCCCCCCGTCTCCAAGTAGTCCGTCATAGATCCTCCCATCTTTGCTTCGTCCCTACTCCTCACAGCGTATTCGCCGCTCCCGGTTCCCTCATCATAAGCGGAATATCGACCTTCCCCTCAGCTCTAAACTCTGTAAAATTAAGACTAATCGTATCCCCTGTCTCCACCCAGCCAAGTCGTCGATATAGCTTCTCGCCCGCCTCCGAAGCCTCAATATACGTCTTCTTTCCCTCTCTATCGGCAAGCTTTAGCACTGGCGCTAGTAGCGCCGCGCTGAGACCGAGACGCTGGTACGTGGGAAGGACAGCGAGAATATTCATCACTAAACTTCCCGTTAGCTGCTATCCCGTTTATCTGGTAAGTGCTAGGCGCGGTCCTTATTAAGGAAACTAAGGTAAGGGAATGAGAACGCACAATACATATCATCCTTTTTCAACCACTTGTCCCGCATCTCGAACAGCTGCGTCTTAAACGCCTCCTGTGCCTTACTATTAGTCCCTAGAATCGGTTCTGGCTTTGGCGCTTTCTTAGCTTCCTCCGCTGCAGCCTCCTCTTTAGGTGTCAAGACGTGCGGGAACTACCAATGGGAAATAGCTGCGATTTTGCTAGTCGCGCGTTAGACATAGTTTCCTCCCTCCCGTATATGTCATCTCTAGCGTAGAAGAGCGAACGGATTGATGAAGTTAATACTGCTGAAAGGGGGACAGCAGAACAAGGGAATGTGACAGAACAGAGAGTGAGCGGAATAAAAAACGCACCTAGTCCCCTCATTAACAACCTTAAAATGTCTGCGCCCACTTATAACCCCCTGCTTCTTCTAAAACGCGATATTCTCTTCTCTTAGCGCAGCGCGGTCACTGGTCCCGCTCATGGTGTTGAAGAGAAGGTTACTAGCAAAGGCAATGTCGAAGACATCACAGAATTCGGGGATGTCACTCTCCCCGCCTTCAGAGATTGTGAATGTATAAGTCCCGACGCTCAGGGTTTGTGGTGGAAGGTTGGATGTCGCCATGGTAGGTGGGGTGACGCAGGCAGAGTAAAAGCTACAGTTCACGGACGTCTAAAATGCTCAAAGAAATCACCCAGCCCAAAGCTTAAACAGCACAAAATAGCAATGAAAGCGATTTAAATGGCGGAACCGTACATATATATATGCCCCCCTAATCCCACTTCCGGCCTAGCCGCTTGGTTACTAAGAGGATTTCGCCACTCCGGTCCAGCCCCGTGGTCGCTAAGACAATCTCGCCATCCGCACTAAAAGTATGACTCTTGGCCAACGCGCTAAGGCTTCCCCACTTCCTTTTTGGCATCACCTCGCCGCTGTCTCGATTCGCTCGCCGCGATAAGCTTCAAAAATTTACCTTCTACACCTAAAGTTCCCTTTTCAACCTCGCCTTTCTTCTCCTTCTCTTCTGAATACTCGATCCGCTTCAGTAATGTCTACCATCGAACCCTTCGTGATCCCCAGTGCCTAATTAGGCATATTCTTCGCATGCATCAGTTTCTCTTCCAAATCTCGTTTACCTTGTTTGATAGGCTCGCGGCTTTGGTATTTTAGGCCACCGCTTCTCTTGAGTATACTTGTATAAAGATCCTTAGAGTCTTATTCTTTACTCTATAATATTCCCTATACAAAGAACTGCCGATGAGCAAGTGAAGCAAGCTACCTAGAAAGAACTGCAAGAGTCATCGGCAATTAGTCTGTGCTCAATCTCCCATCTCTCTGTAATAATTTTATAAATGTAGCATACAGCGCAGGTGCGTTAGCAATCAAACAAGCACACGGCAGTTCGATAGCAGCCCAGAATGCGCGGCCGTTCTGAGACGTTAAGTTTGGGCCGATCTTAGCGAGACGCAGGCAAGTGGTGATAATGACGAAGAAGCCGAGGGTAAAGAGGAGGCTAAGCGATAGTTTCCTACAAGTTTGGCGTGTTAGTAGCGCTCAAAGACGACACAAAGAAGTCGCAGACGCTAAGAAGGGAGAGCTACTTTACCCACGGGAGATGGACTTGAAAGAGGACAGGAAGCGGGAGCACAATGAGGATGATTTGTGTGAAGAGGTTAAATGCACCTATTATTGTAACCAATCAGCAGACTAGACTACAATATGGCATATAATCGTTTTCTTACCTTCAATGAAGAGTAGTTTCATCGCGCGAACGCACTGCGCTATTGTTTGCCAGCAGATCTAGGTTAGTAGTGTACGGCAGAGACGAGAGAGGAATACACGACGAACCGGGATCGTGCAAGACCCTCCAGTATAGAGATATTGGGTGACATTCCACAAAGACCATAATGACACTAACACAATAGGTGAGAGCCAAGATAACTATAACAATGTAGATCATTGTATGGCCGTACCATAATTCCACGACGATTTTGGAGTAGAAGTCGAGCAAGATAGATTTGAGTAGCCAGTTGCTATGTAGTATATTTGTTAGCCCACTACAGTAAGAAAAAGTTGAGGTAGAACGCACGTCGAGATATACATAACCCGCGCAACAAGCACACATTTGCCTCCGACCGTCCGGCGGCGGATGTCCTCCGGGGTAAAGGCAGTGCCTGGTTCGATGTTAGGGGTGCCCCAGATGATAGATATGTAGACCGTAGGGATATAGATAATCAAGGTAAGCATAGCTAAGGCAGCAAGATAGTCGCCGAGGTCCAGGCGATAGAAATAGACCTTGCGCAGGACTAGACGCAAAGACAAAATCACGACTCCAGAGATGCAGCAGCCTAGCATGGCAGCTATAATTGTGCGGTCCATAATAGAAGCAGAGAGGTGGCAGGGTGTATATGCTCAAGTTCATTATGTTTCTGCTAGAGCTAGGGTCGTGGCGACGAGGTAAGAGACAAGAACTGACGCTACTGTATAAAACGGAATGACGTGCAATAAGAATACTGGGAGCCCCAGCTAATCTATGCTCTAACCTTGTTCCGGAGTATTTACCGAGTGCATACGTACTGTATATGTGAGCGGCGCATATAAGCGAGCGGCGCACTCTGCGAAGTCGAATCCGGCTTCGCTTTGCTCACAGTCGGAGGAAGCGATGAACATCGTCGACAAATAACGCTTCAGTCTCAATATCTACCCTAGCGCATTACCTTTTAAACAGAATATAATTCATCACTCCCACTTTCGTATTTCTGATTATTTTGTGTTACGATCGCAGCTCACAGCCGCTAGCGACTATGGGAACAGGCAGCCATAGTACCCACTAAGGATTACAAGGAACCGTTAAGCGCACAACTGTATATAATGAGGAGTAGCCTCGCGTCTTTTCTTATTCTCTCTTTAGATTCAATCTAGCTTACTTTTTGACTGCATCTTGACCTCCGTGGCCATCGTAACATTTTGAGCTCTGCTGCTCTCGCTCTCACCCGCACTCTCACTCTCTGATCGTCTTGCCGAACAGTGAGAGAGCATTTATCTAACGGTTAATATAGAATTGCCACCCGCTACATGTGATTATCGTCGAGGCTCTATAACAACGCTATCTTGCCCATCAACCTGCTGCCCTTCCCCATCACTGTGATCCTTTGTATGCCACCAACCTGGCCTAACCAAGATGCTGACACAACTATGTCATCGTATATAGATGCTAGCTGCTCGTCAATCTCCGTTTAGAGCTGACGATGATGTGCCCTACGTGTTGCATGGTTTCTCACACTCTGGTTTGCATCCTGGTCCGCTTTTTGGCTCTCACTTTGCGTTGCCTCAGTGTGAGTACCACAAGGTTAACAGTACGCTTATAACTACTGTCTGGTATTTGTACTTGATATATGACATTCCTAGACTCGTAGGCTCAATATCGGCGAGACTGCTTCAGGCTATCGAGGAATCTACCCCATAGTACGTCTGCAATAGCTGTTGTGCCTTTCTAAGGACGGATTTCGCAGTTATGCATAGTCTTCATAAGAAACGACCATATTGCGCCCATCATCTTTAATGGTTAGAGCTTGCGATACCACGCCATATGCTATTTAAAGACTCTGCAATATTCGATGCATCATGGCCACAGCGAGGCTATGGGTAGTGAACGTATGTCCAAAGCTTAAACGGGATGTCTTGTAGGTAGCAGCTTACTTCATTACTTAGCTCTTCCATTGCTTTCCATTCCTCCTATAACGATAATTAGGCATGTAGTATATAGTGAATAGTAACTTACTTTAAACGCCTTCTTATTCGTTGCTTGAGCTACCTTCCAAAATGGTTCCGGCACATAAGTCCATACCTCGTCTATATATTAAGTACTATATACTAGCAGCAATTAGCTTGATTCCCATTTGAAAAGTTAACATTAATAGCTGACGCAGTTCCCTTATCTCTATCACTTATAAAGATCATTTGGTTGCTTCTCGCCCATTCAAAATGTTTATTAACGAAGCATAAAAACTCCGTCTACCACTCTGCGTTTTTTGTGGGGATTAAAACCCACGCAAGTGGCAATAGATTATCACTTGCATCGATAGTTGTAGCTATTAAAAGCATCATTCGATATTTTGACTTCGTACGTGTTGCATCGAGGGCAATAAAACCACGGCAGATGCGGCTAGCATGTATTAAGCCTGCAGGCGCAAATTCGATTGCTTGAAACGTATGCAAGTTGTTACCTCCATCTATAGCCTGTATAGCCTATAAGACTTTATTGTTCGTATCCAATGATTCGCTGTATATATTGTGGGAATAGAGCAAAGTAGTCTCGCAGCCATCGATTTCAAGGAGAATGGCTTGTCTAACTCGATATGCTTGCAAGTACGTAATAGAGTTATGAAACTGTAGCCCTTCCGTAGCCTAAATTTGGCCTATATAACTAGTTAGCATTTATATAATAGATTACAAGTGTACGTAACTCGTAGTAATGTTCCAGCTGTCAGTCACAGATCGACGGTGATGATCCGCTAAATACCGGATACCATTCCGAGCCCAGCTATTACGCTGTGTAGTTAGGCTGCAAGTATGTTCAACGATGATTGTAATAGCGAAACGGGGGTCTTTGCATGTTCTCGATGCTCGTATTTTAAAGCCGCAAGCCTCATCCCGACAGTGAACAATGTACCGTGTAGAGTCACTCTTATAACCTCGTTATGAGTGCCTACTGTTGAGCACCTAACGATTGACGGCATTACGAGCTCGAGCGATAGTCTCAAACGAAGCACTGAGCTTTAAATCCATTGCGTTGTACAATTATTTCATAGGTACCTGGTTGGAGAAGAGAATTTAAGGCGGTGAGCATAGGGTGGCAATTCTGATATTAACCGTTTATCTAATTGCGGGAATGAACTAGATTCTTGTCAGATCAATGGGCCGACACTAACATACATTTTAAGGGTGACCTGGTAGACGACGCTGACAGTATCCTTTATAATTTCACGTCATATAATTTTTAACGGACATATTTTATTCGATTGAAGATGGTTTAATAAAAGAGGAAGATATTTACAGGGAGAATATAATATTTACCAGGATTAAGGTCAATAATAAGGGCGGGGCCAGCATAGATCATCAGGCCGGAGGTAGCACAGGCAGAGAGTGGGAGGGGGAGAGGGTTAAGGTAATAAGGCTGTAAGAAGAGGATGGCAAGCACATGCAGGGCGATTGAAATAGATTATGCTTCAAGGTCAATGCACCATTCTAGAAAAGCAACTAAGCCTTAATTTGGGTTCCTCTCATTCACATCTCTTAAGTCCATCGCCTATCTAGATGCACATACTTATATACTTTCCATCGCCAGTTATCTCAACCGTACTAGCTGCCTAAATATAAAGGTAGTTGCCGAGGCATGAGGACCTAGCTCTTTAGGGGTTCGCCAACAATAAAAAACCCGTACTGTGCTTGGCCAATCTTGAGGCAGTAGCCATGGTCCATTGAAAATGCTTGATTGAGGTATCCAATCCTATTCTGATTTTACTACCAATCCCTATGGGCCTTACATTGACCTAATCTTCCAAACTGGTGACTACAAGTTGGATTATAGGTGGCATTACCATAGGCGTCGCCCCCATAATCTAGATACCCTCGACTATGATCGAGAGGAATTTTCTGAATATCTGCTGCGGTACCAACAACCCAGGCTGTCTGCATACCTGAAAGAGCAGGGTTAGCGTTTGTACCACCTCTATGAACAGATCACTCACCCATGATCATATGCTCCAATGTATGGCAGTGGATCAACCACACCCCCGGCTCGTCCACCCGGATCCGCCACGCCCGCCAACCAGCTGCAGCTCCTGCGTCTGTGACCGTTGAATACCGATATAGCATTGTTGTGTCTCTTCTCAAAGCCTTGTATCCCATATGGACAAGTTTCTCTTCGTTTGCCTCAGCGTTGTAAGAACCACTCCCGCTACCAATATCGTAGAAGTGTTGGCCATGAGCATGGAGCGGATGCACGTCTAGGGCACCTCCGCTGTTCACCAACGACCCGGTATTCTGAAAGACAATCTCAAGCACCTCGCCCACCTTTGCCGGAAATGCTCGAGTGTTGGGATCCCAGCCATGGTTACCCATCGCAGAGTCGTAATCAGGGACAGCAGTCTCGCCGCGCTGGTAGATATCCACCAGCAAAGGCTTTTGTACTGTACGCTCTGTCCAGGACTGATTCGCCAGCCGCCATATGATCTGATTGGTGGTGGGGTTGATCATCTGGACTGCATCAATAGTCACACGGCGGGTAACCTCTGCGAGGGTGGGATGGCCTATATGCTCTGGATATAAGGGCTGCAGCTTGTACTCAAGCCAGTCATAGGTGGCGTTTGGAAGGCTAAGCACTGCTTCCACTGGAGGACTAGGCAATGGAGCCCGCTTTGAATAGCGGAGTACTGCATAGCCGCGATAGATTGCTGGTCGGTCGCGAGTCTCAAACTGGAGGAAATATGTGGTTTTTCCTTCGGCGTGCAACTCGTCCGCTGTCTTGGCTACGAAGAGTGCATCGAAGCGTTGGCCGGATCCTAGCTGTATGCGATTAACTGAGACCGGTTGTGTCCACTCGCTACCGTCGACCTGGATAATGGTGAGGTTGTCGTGCCCTTCAAATGACATGCTGACAAGTGACAACCCTGTCGATCCGATGAAGCGAAAGCGGTAAGTTTTGCCAGGGTCAACTTCGATAACGGGCAGTGCGCCACAAGTCCCTGTAGAGGCGGCATGACCAACACCGATACCCTTGCCATTAAGTAAGACGGCGTGGGTCTCGCCTCCCCAGTCAAATGGCACTGCTTCCAAGCCAGCCTGGAACTCTTCATCCTTCTGGGGGAAGTAGTCACTCCAATGCAGTGTGCGCTCCTCGTCATACTTGTAAGGCGGCCTCCCACAGTCCTCGACAATTAGTGGCCCGGTGACAGTAATCGCCTGCATGCCGACATGGGAGTGGTAGAAATAAGTACCCGAGTCGTTCAGGTGTGTCTGCAGTTCATAGTCGAAGAAATGCCCAGGTGGGATTGGCCATTGGGATCCTTGTGGGCTGCCGTCTGAAAACTCCGCCATACGCTGGGATAGACCATGCCAGTGCTGTCGCTGATTAGAGCCTCTACTTATAATGATTTTGAGGACACTCCAGTCGTACCATGGTTAAATTGCTATCTGTCATGCCATTGTGGACTCTGATCCACGTTGCTTTGCCTGGCTTGATCCGGAGCTCTGGTCCGGGAAACATCCCATTCACGATCGCCGAGAATCTCGTCTCGCAGGCTACTGAAATGTTGCCGGTTGTGACTCGCAGAATGTAATCTGGGACGAAGCTCGTGTCGTGTATTACTGTTGTCACTGCGGGAATGAGCCATTGTGACCATAGTGCGTAGAGAATAATTGCGGCCATTCTCGCAGCTTTGATGGATTTCAAAATTCCGGAAACAACATGCAGGAACCTAGTCATTTCCATGTCTTATAATCGATGGGTTCAGAGCCAGGTAAAGGTGATACTTACTCTATTCCGTTGAACACTCGTCAGTAACAACAAATCTGAGGCGATATATCTATTTAACACTTACTCTTTCCTCAATTGCTTTAATAACCACTCCTTCGCCTGCTGTACCTAGCGCTGCGAACGTCATTGCTGCAAATAAAACAGAAACCATAATAACAAAGTTAGGGAAATACATAATGAAGACGAAAAATTGATTTTAAGTGTGGTGTTGTTGCTTGGACTTTCGGATTCTAGAATTGTTGTGATCTATAAAGCGTTAGACAGGAATACACTCTATCTTATATGCATTGGAAGTATATGCCAAAACTATCTAGGAGAGTAAGGGCTAAAAAGAACACTACAATCCTTTTTAGTAAGATATATCACAAACCTAGAGGTTAGCCCACGTCAGCACGCCACAGGCGAATAACATTTTGTTATCCTACCTCGAGTCCAGATTAATCGTCTTTTGAAACCAGACAATTACTAATTTATCATCACGATAGCCTCACTCCTCACAATTTAGGCTAAGCGGCTCTTTTAAAGCAGTATAGCGCTTACTGAGAACTAACTACTATCTCCCCCCCTAAAATAGGCAATTGATCCGCTGAAGATCCCTTGCGTTTCAGGCAACGAGGGAGTAGTTTGTCTTCATATTCACGGTGTATTCGATGTACTTCATATCATTCGAGCTTAGCGAAGCGAGAAGTTCTACTCCTACTTTATTAATCTTAAATAAAATCACGAATTCATTAACTAGAACATTCGATTACAATATCACGACAATACAGATCTACAGGGTCTCACGCATCCCCCGTTGCAAATCCTATTTCCTGTCATCACGCGGTGCAGACCCAGGTCACATTCCTGAAGGTATGGACGGATTTGGCCCTTGATGGAAAATTCTGGTTGACTAGCATATTGACAAAGACGCCAGCCACTTCTTGCCTCTTGCTCACTTGCTTGACCAAGGCAAACCATCCTGCACACTATGGAGCGCTTACATGTAGTTGCAGACTTTCGAGACAATTCTGTGAAACCTCTCTGCATGGTTTTGGAAATGCATTCGATGCTCGAGCCGGACGTCACATATACGACAATCAGTTAACTGATTAACTCCAATCCTTCTAACATGCTTTTTACCTGTAGCATTCGCCGTATTTAGGGCATACGTATTTTTCTGCCGCCCGGACGGATCCCTGTCAGGGGGAACCCCACGGGCCATTCTTTTATAAGTATTCTTTCATAAATGTAGAAATCCGCCCATGAGGGCGTGCGCCCTCCCGCAGCCCCTATAGCCCTACATACAGCCTTACAGGTGGGCTATTAGGAGTGCTAGAATGGCCCCTAGTAGGAGCCATGGCAGGTGGCTTTTGCTATCTCTAAGCCTATTGCGTTGTGCTCTGCGTCGAGTGCCGGACGTGCCTCCTGCTCACCCGCGCCAGCCAGGAACGACACGTCAGAGAGCCACCCTACCACATGAAGGGGCCTCAGCTGCGAACCCTGCCCAACCTCTTTGCGAAGTATGAGCTGCGGACGCCGAGCCAGGTCAAGCTACCCGACGCTCCTTGCGCGGCCATAGACGCCTTGCGCTCCTATCCGACCTTCGCGTGCTGCCTCTGCGGCAGCTGCCTCATCCGGTCGGACCACGCCCGGGAAATGCACATGTCTAGGGAGCACAAGCAGAAGCCGGCGCAGCAAATCGGGGGGGGGCTCGTGGCGGCGGTGCCCCGTGTAGACCTTCTTCGCCGAGAAGCAGCATATTCGGTACTTCGTAGTAGTAGAAGTGGGATCCGACCACGACCAGGCGAGCGGCGATGGCAAAGCCAGTGCTCTAGAACCTAGGGAGCAGGAGTTCTTTGAGCTGCTCGATGAGGACACGGCCGTAGCAGAGCTAGATGGGAAGGCAGAGGCCAACATCGTCCATGGCTTCGGCAGCCACAGGTTCGCTGTAGAGCCGTGGCTCAGGCGAACGGGCATAGAGGAGCACACGCGGGGCTTGAGGAAGAACGAGATCCACGCCTTGATCGCAGTGCCGAAGAGCCCGTGCTCGAGGGCATGGACGAGATCCTGTCCGAGGCGCACGGGTGGTGCTTCGACGGGCCGGAGTGCATGCTGACCTGGCTACGGCAGCTGGCGTTGAGCCGCTTCCACACCGCCTCTACGGACAAGGCGCGGGGGTTCGACCTCTCAAGAAGAGCCCGTGACGCTCAAGACCAACTTTGGATACTGGAAGCAGTTTCTGACCTACTTCTACCGCATCACATATTGTGGTGGCCACTTTACCAGAGAAGGCGAGCACTGGCGGACGCCTGAAGATTGCATCTAGCTCACGGATTTGCAGACGAGGCATGGAAGGCAACCTTGCGGAGTTCTGTCGACAAAGACCGGCCTGCGCCGAAAGACGCCCTGTCAGTCCTTTCGATGGCGCTGGTCTGCCACGAACCTGGGGGCAACCGCTCCAGCTCTCCGCTCTTGAGCTTGATCGCGATGCTGAGCATTAAGCCTCGCACCAAGACGTGGAAGGAGCCGGGGAACTTGAACAGCTGCCTGTCCGGTCTGATCTGGGTTGTACAGCTGCTGATCTTCGCTGCAAGCGTCTACCTTGAGAAGTCGGACGCGGGAGGAACCCTAGAGTGGATCGAGGGGTTCTGTGAGAAGTTCCCAAGGCCAGACACAGAGACTCCCATGGGCGAGATCCTAGGCTAGCACCTGCTGCTGTTCACGGTGTCGAAGAAGGCCGTTGGGTTGCAGAATTGTCTGATTTAACAGCTCCCAATACGATCGAGATCAAATAGTACTGTTATAATGGTAAAGTTGTAGATATCTCGTGGAAGTGGTGGGAAATGGCCATCTCGGTGTTAAAGTCTTAGCTTAGTATTGAAGCAAAATAGTGATGACGGCACACACTTTCTTCTACATAGCTCACATGATGTTAACATCTAGAAGCCCCACTCTATCTCCATGAAGGCACCTGAACCCTTTCCCATCCACATTATTCCCTGCTTAGAATTGCTTTCATCCTGGAGCCACGTCTTCCAATAATCTACATCACGCGGAATAATATCTGTCCTTCGAAACGTCCCGTATAACTGGTCCCAGCCGCGGAAGAATAGGGCATAATTGCATCTGCGATGAGAGTGACTAGAACATTGGTTAGATAAGACATAGCATTATACAGAAGTAGGATATTAATAATAGGGAGAACATACTGTGTTTGGTGGTTGCTCGCCGTTAACATGTGTTTTCCCAGAACCAAAACGAGTGGTACAATGAGAGGATGAAAGTAAGCGATATAGGGGCTCGACTTGTACCCTCCGTGCCCCACAAGAGTAGTGTATCCGGTCAATGTGAATGGTAATAGCCAATTCCACACGTTCCCCCCGGCAAACCAAGTCCAGCATACCCAAGGTAAGCCGACCTGAATAAAATTTTCCGATATCTCGGCATATGTAACTGCAAAGACGTTCATGGCGTGGGTGTAGTCATGATGCATGACATGAAAGGTTTCATATAAACGATGCGACTTGTGGAACCGTAGGTGGACGTGAAAAAAGTACGCACCGTGACAAAACATATAGAGTAAGATATTGCCATATATCGCGAGGGGATTGAAACTCCAGCTCCTCTCTATATCTTCTTGAAAGTATGTAGCATAGAATGCAACTGGACCAGTAAAAGAAAGTGTGTTGAGGAAAGCCCTAGATCGGATTAATGAATACGGTGGCTAGATACAGTAAGGAGGTTAAGATATTACCATGAAATATTGCGGTTCCTAGGCAATGGAAAATATCGTAACAACTTTCCCCTCAGGTACAGCCATTTAGTCCACTGGAATAAGCTCTCGGAATATAGAATCGCGGCCACTGATGCTAGATTTGCAATCTAGATCTTTCATTTAGCCTAACCGAGAGCGAAAGACGGATCAAGCGTTAACATACCCCAATTGCTCGAAGGAATGGCGACCAAATCAATAGACCTTGTAGCTCCATGAGAAGCTTCACTAAGGCCGGCCACATTCAACGTAAGGTTATACAGAGATATCGGAGAATTGGAAGATATTTTAGGCCTCAGAAAACTTCTGGTGCTGGTTAGACTTCAATAGCTAAATTGATGCTCTCGAGAAGTAGTATTTATTCATAATAGAATAGCTAAAAATAAAGTGCGAGGAACGGATGTACCGAGATCAGAATACGAGTACAGTTTACGATACGTCTCATCTCAACCGTAATCTCACGAGGTTTGTTGCCAGCAGGATAAGGGTCCACATATCTGCCAAAAACAAAAGGGGGGAGGAGCTCTAGGCTCAAATCCGTCGCATTTAATAAGCAACGATAGGTTGACCCCATTTTATCAGCGCGTTGTCATCGCATCATGATCTTATTTGGTATTTCATGGAAATTTTGCAGCCCGGACTAGCGTGCCTCGTATTTATGGAGGCAGTTCTCGCATTTCATCCCGAAACGGGAAGTTTTCGCGGCCATCTCATTAGACACCGCTCGACCCTCTACTCGGCCTCAGATCTTCAACTTCATTGATGCGACATCCAAACCCATCGATGCGACCATCCATCCCCGAAAGGGATATGACTTCGCAAGGGTGCTTCTCGCTTTCATAGTTCAACGAGTACAATACCAAATACAGACTCTGTCCCGCTCAGCTTACTGTACCTCCCGGCCCACTCACGCATTCTGCTGTACGATTACCTTCTAGCGAGGCTGATCGTGGCTAAGTATTAGTAATTTCTCAATTGTAGAGGGCACAGCATATTTTATTTTTGTGCATAGGTGTAGCAGTAGGTTTAATAGGCTTTTCTCAGACGAACTCATTGTTCTTGTGTTCCCAATATCCTTATTTCTAGAACTACATGTCCTCTCTAGTGTTAAAACGGAGCTCAGCAACAACAAATACCCTTCAACATTTTCACCACTTTCGGTGTCCCACCAGTACACAATGACGCTCGGAGAAGAAGACAAAATTAGTCACGCATTGATTTCTTCTCAAAGAGGTATCTGCTACACGGAAGACGAGGCACCCGAAATTGAAACAACCACCAAAACCACCAGATTCTACATCTCTATTGCCGCTATCGTTGTCGCTTTATTTCTTGTTACCCTCGATCTTGTCATACTACCTGCATCCCTCCCTGCCATTGCCCAAGACCTCAAAGCAACAAGTAGCCAAGCATACTGGTGCGGGACTGGATATATCATCGCGCAAGCAGCGTCACAGCCCATCTTCGGCACCATCTCTGTAATAAGTGGCCGGAAGCTAATGCTCCAGATATCTCTACTAATATTCATGGTTGCGAGCATTATGTGTGCGAGGGCACAGAGCATAGAGTGGCTTATTGGCACAAGGGTTGTGAGTAAAGCGACAGGTCCAACGAAATGAAATATACTAACTTGACAGATGCAAGGCCTCGGTGGTGGAGGCATAACGACACTGACAATTATGGTCGTCACTGATCTGACAAGTTTGCAAGAACGATCAAAATGGATGTCTATTCTGTCCCTATCATATGCATTTGGGAACGTTGGGCTTGTGCTGGGGGCGGCCATTACGGAGTTCACGACATGGAGGTGGTACGTCAACTCCTCAGTGCTTGTTTACCTAATCCAGGGTGTGGAACATGACTGACAAGTAACACAGGGTATACTACATCAACATCCCAGTCTGTGTGATCCTTCTTGCGGTGCTGCAGTTATCGTTGCATCTCCAACCCAAAATTGAAAACCATCATAATGGGCTATTAAAATTCGATTGGGCTGGCATCGCTATTTTGGGTGGCTCAGCTTCAACCCTTCTATTAGGTCTGTTGAGTGGAGGAGTATCACATCCGTGGTCTTCTGCCGCCATCATCGCTCCCCTAGTTATTGGCGTGATTGGCCTGGTATGCTTTGCCATCGTGGAATATTTCGCGCCAATGCCAATGTTCCCACGTGAACTGCTCAAAAGTCGAACTTTTAATGCGACTTCCTTGATATCCTTCGTTGGTGGCTACGCAGTGACCTCTTTGGCCTTTTTCCTCATCGTTTACGTGAGTCTTCTGTTATGAATACCTCCGGCGAACCGTACAGATATCTGTTTGATGTGGCGTTCTAATATCAATATAGTTTCATGGCGCAGCTGGATATGGCGTAATCCACTCTGCTGTTGCAGTGCTCCCAACGATCATCCTTGTCCCAGCGGGTGGCATCATCGGCGGCGTCATAATAACAAAATCAGGAGATTATCGAGGCCCATTATATTTTGGATGTGCTGCAGTGACTGCAGGAATGAGTTCATTGACTGTATTAAGTCCTCTATCTTCTGTGGGCCTCCAAACGGGCCTCCAGATTCCTATTGGCATTGGGCTCGGTTTTATTTATATCGCGTCCAATATTGCGCCACAAGCAACTCTACCAAGCCATCTACATGCTGTGAGCGTGAATCAAATCACATTCACACGAGTGATGGGCCAGGCATTTGGCATTGCCATCGGTGGAGCCATCTTCCAGAATCAATTCGATAACTACGTTAACAACCACGTACGAGACGGGTCCCTGTCAGACGGGTTTAGAGTCCGAGGCAAAGATGCGGAGCTGGCTTTTACACGCATAGACCAGTTTCCGCAGCAAGTTTCTGACGTATATAGTGCTATCTATTGCGATTCCCTACGAGCTGTTTGGTTTACAGGAATGGCGCTATCTGCCGTTGCACTTCTGTGCTGTTTCTCAACCCAGAAAGCCTCGCTCGGGAGGGACCTGACGGCTAATCGGAGATTGCCTTCGAGTAAATAGCTGCTGAAAGCCTTCGACGTATATTTGCCCTGTCTTATGCACAGGAGTATGGTGTTTCAGCCAAGAGTTTGTGTTAATAGAACATAGACATAGACAATACCTATTAACTGCATAAGCAAGGCTCAACGAATTCTGTTGCATATTATCACTTTTCAACCTAGACGGGGCGTATTAAACTAAGGTATTAAACTGGAATCCATTATTCTCAGAAAGCTTCTCAAGCCCCTAAAGAGGCTAAATTTTACTATTGATAGCATAGAGCTTCTTCTGGGTAGGATTGTATCTAAATAAACCCAGAAATATATCACCAGAAGTTTCCTCAGTAGCAGGTGACCAGCATCGATTCGCATTATCTGCCATAGCGTTCAAAAATGCAGACATCTTCATGCAATGAGTGTTAGCGAATGTTAACTTCTAATCCTTTTATTCCGGTTAACAAGAGCGTACCTGTTTTGTAACCCATTGGGTGCCGCTAGTCTCATGCCAGCCTATATGGCCACCCATCGTTGTTGTACAGAGAACAGCGAATGGGTTGACCTCAAATGCGTCGAATGGGATGCATTCAGGAGGGACAATCTGTTTCATGTCGGCCGTCAGTTGAAGTGGAACCCGGCGCTATTTCATCTTTAATCAACTTACAGGGTCATCCAACGCATTCAATGCAAGTAATGGCGTCTTTACAGCCAGCAAGGCATCACAGCAAGACCCGTCACGATAGTATGCACCTGGAGTCGGATATCCAGATGCTGGGGCAAGGAACAGCTTGTCAAATTCGCGTATATCAGCCGCATTTTTTACTCTCTCGACATCAATGTCGGTATATTTAGAGATTTCAGCAAGGTGCCTGCTAACCGTTATCATGCAATCTCTACAACGTAGACGAGATACGAAATCATACTCTTTCACATATTTCTTATATCCAGTAACAACGGCACGAGAATATACTTCTCTGCCCATGCATCCGCGCCTCATAGCCATCGAGGATAATTCAAGGGTCCAAGGATTTGAAAAGACAATGGCAGCCTTAAATGGAGAATTAGAACCCTCCTCGGCGAGATACTGCAGAAGTCATGTTAGCAGTCGTCCCTACTGGCTAAGTAGACGGCACACTTTTACATTTGTTAAGAGATTAGCGCCCAACGAAATTCCCGCTGCGAAGAGTGGCCTGTTGGGGAACTTCTCCCCTAGCCAATTGGCAGTCTGTCGCAGGTCCCATGTCGCGCGGCCATTGTACATGAGTTGACTTGAGATTTTGGATCTAGCACAACCTCTCGAGTTAACCACGCAAGCCTCCCAGTTTCTCTCGCCCTTGCCATTTTGGGCGATAAGAGTCGCGATCATCTCTCGGATAAAGGACTCGTGCGAGCCTCCGGACACTCCATGCAGAACAACAAGCATTGGCCTGTGATCTGTGGATGTTAACTTATCCAGTTCAACATCGGTTAGGAGGGTTGTCCTCTTGGGCAGCGCGGATCTCCCTCGTCGACGTTTCTGTCTGCCACAAAATCTACGGCAAAACTTCCATTGTCGTCTTCCCCATCTGCAATAAAGATCTTACGCTTGTAGTATATTGGAAAATCATTTCGCATAGCGTTAGTCCAAATTGTTTGCATGTGACCGTTAAACAGAAACGGATTAAGAGTGCATCGCTGTGTGACGGACTTGCAGAGATCGGGAAATGAGATAGAAGTCCGAGCCGAGCCGTCCTGTGTCGCTATGAGAGATGTAGAGGAGTGATGGAAAACAGTTTTGGCATAGCCGAACCACTCCATTTTTGGAGACTCGAGGATAATGGGGGCTATTGTCGTGGCGGAAGGGGAAGTCAAGGCTGATGTAATTAATGAGTTAAATGCAATATGCGATTCAAAGGATATCCCATAGGTAATATTCAAGACGACCCTAATAGCAAGTAAAGAACCTCTAGATTCGGTTCAAATTGCGAGGCGATTCGATTTGGCAGCACCGAGGTAAAATTATAGCGCTTACTGAGAACTAACTACTCCCCCCCCCCCCCCCTTTTGAAATAGGCAATTGATCTGCTGAAGATCAATTGCGTTTTGGGCAACGAGGGAGTAGTTCGTCTTCATATTCACAGTGCTTAGGGCTAGTATCGCGTAGACTAAGTATTGTCAGCATGGAATTAAGAGTTGCGTCAGCGCAATCTCCTTATTAAATAAGATCACAATTTCATTAAGTAGAACATTCGATTACAATATCACGACGATACAGATTTACAGGGTCTCGCGCATCCCCCATTGCAAATCATTTTTCCTACACAGTGGCTTAATAGTTTCCCAACCTTTGACCCTCGTCTCTCCGGCCAAGACCAATCTAATTTAGATGAACTATTTGATTTAGATGGTTTGGACAACTTGATTTGGATGTCTTATATGTTACTATTTTCGGAGACTACACGGGCTTTATACACACCGAGATGTCATCGGCACCACGGCGAACGATCCAGAGTTCTCACGTCTAAAAGATCTGCCAGTCCAATGTGAAAGTGATGGTCTTACCAATCTTTTTCTCTACTATCGCACTGTAGCTGAAACACCTCTGTCATCCCTTTATCACACGCAAGCATTATGACAGCTTGATGCGAAGTAATTGAAAGGATAGAGGTCTCCGTTTTCGCCAAAACCTGACAAGTAACCTTAGTACATCCACCACGAAGTGTGTCGCAAGTGAAGGCAATATAAATCAATTCTCTACACGCAAAACTTGCGTGAGATGCCGAGTCGACCGAGCTGGGGGGAAGGCTTCGCGCGAGCCACAGGCTGGCACCAAAGCCGGATGACAATCAATCCGGACAGTTGTTAAAAGTCGCGAGGACCGTGGATTCTATGAACACCATGGACTCTTCACCACCACTAGAGAATGGCGACTGGCCTACGCCATCAAGAGGCACGTTGCGTACACTCCGAAAGCATACTGACTACTCAATACGACAAATTGCGCAACGGTGGTATCCCAAAGTCGACTGTCTTCGACTATCTCTCTGTGCATACCTCACGAAGAGCTACGAAACATGAAACCGTTGCAAGCTGAGAGACACATTACAAATACTGCGGTTCATGGACTTTGAATAGACTTGAAGAAGCGATTTTGGGATCCACCATGGCCAAGCCCAATAAAGTTGTCGTCCTCCGATTGGAGGGAGAGTTGTTTTAACCAAATCTGTGCTATTGTAGGCGAGGTCTTCAAAGGCGCCGCGCGAACACATTTTCAAATGCTTCCGAATACTTTTGAACTATACGGCCTAGACTTCTTGATTAATAGTAACGGGGGCGCCTGGTTATTAGAAGTAAACGGCAGCCCCTCCTTCGAACGACATAGCTACACATTAGATAAATTAGTAGAAGAGCTTTTTTGCAAATAATGTTGTTCTCTACCACGCGCTAATCCCGGAGCCGAGGCATGATTTGCGATTTGTTGCCCTAGTTCTTTAAAACAGATATCAATTACGTAGAGACTTCGAAAGCGCATCTGCGGGTCCGAACTGTTATATCCCCAATCATCCCTGCACTGCTAACCAACGGACTACATATGTGCCATTGAAAGAGAGAACCTGCTGTATATAAGGACCTGGCCCTTGGTGCATTACAGACAAAATTAATCAATAATCCGAAAATCAAATTTCGTCATCAAAAGCAACATGGGTCAATCAACCTACCAGTCCGTCGTCCTTGCCAAACGTCCCACATCTCTCATCGTCCCCGGCGAGACGTTTACTATGAAGGAGCATGAAATTGTAAAGGCCGAAGATCTGAAGGATGGCGAAGTCCTCGTTGACACGCTATACCTTAGCGTCGACCCCGCCATGAGGGGCTGGTTGAACGGTAACCACCCACTACGTGACACTTCCCGTTTTTAATCATGCCTCTAACATTCTTCGCAGACACACGATCCTACGTCCCTCCGTTGAAAATTGGCGAAACAATGCGCGGCGCCGTGATCGCGAAGGTGGTTGTCTCGAAGTCCTCAAAGTTCTCCGCAGGCGACTACGTGACGTGCTACACAGGCTGGAGGGAGCAGGCGGTCGCAAAGGAGAAGGACCTCATGCCGCTTGAGGTCCCGGCTAACGGACAGCTCACTGATGCGTTAGGAGCTCTAGGCACGACTGGCCTAACGGCGTACTTTGGCATCATCAATATTGGGAAGGTCAAGGCTGGCGACTTTGTCGTTGTCTCAGGCGCGGCAGGAGCGACGGGGAGTGTTGTGTGCCAGATTGCAAAGTTGAAGGGAGCTAAGGTCCTAGGTCTTGTAGGGAGCGATGATAAGGTAGAGTGGCTAAAGGAGCTTGGCTGTGATAGGGCGCTTAACTACAAGGACCCGAACTTCCCCACTCAGTTCAAGGAGGCAACGAAGGACTTGATCGACGTTTTCTTCGACAACGTAGGAGGAGAGATCCTTGAATTAGCTCTGTCCAGAGCTAAGGCTCACTCTAGATTTGTTATGTGTGGTTGTAAGTGTTCCACCGTTCTGCGAGGGGAGGGAGGGATTTTCTAACATTGTGACAGCTATCAGCCAGTACAACAGCGCAAATCCGACAGGACCAAAGGTTGTTTTGCGAAATCATAACTCTCCCAACCTTCCTTCAAGACTAACCCACCCGTAGAATATCTCCATGATCATCGTGATGCGCATCCGGTGGGTACCCTCCTATTCTCACAGATAAAGTCACAGCTAACTGTTCCCCATAGAATGGAAGGGTTCATCGTCTACGACTATGCTAATGAGTTCCCGGCTGCGCGTAAGGAACTCGCACAGTGGCTCTCAGAGGGCAACTTGCAGCGCAAGGAGACAATCATCAAGGGAGGACTTGGCGCCGCTGAGAAGGCGCTACTTGCTTTATACGAGGGACTCAACACCGGTACGTGCATCCTGTTTATATTCAAGCTTGAACTATGCAGCTAACTTCTGTGTCTGTGTAGGGAAATTACTCGTTGAAGTTAAGGCAGTGAACGCTAGTGCTGGGTTGAGGCTGTAAGCAGGACTCCTGGCTATGGCATTAATTGCACAGGATGCTGAGATATCGCTGTAGGGGAACTGTCTGAGGTCAAAGAAGGCAACCGGCGAGGGAAATCGTCGCAGGAGAATGAATGGACGACAGCAGGGCGAGCTAGATCAGTGAGAAGGGTAAGCAGACGCAAGACATAAAAAGCAAAACTGTCCCTTTCATATTACACGGTTATCCATTTATAACATGGAAAGCTCTTGTGAAAGTGAGTGCTCCTAACTTAATTAAAAGTACAATAGTTAACTAAGTTATCTTATTTCTTTATGTGAAAGCTTTATAAAAACCACACTATAGAGTACGATTTAGTCTCTCTTCCAAGCGCTCAACGCCGCATGCCACGTTATAACCATATCAATGTGGAAAACCAAGTTATATTCTCTAGTATAACTATTCCGTACAAGGCGTACTATTTGTTTCAGCCAGGACATAAAATTAACTTGGTACAGGCCCCTCCAATATAACAAAGCTCAAAAGCTAATATTAGCAACAGCGGCTAGCCGCATACCCCTAGCGGATGATACAGAGCACTGTTTAGCTAGTATATCGTCCTTAGGTATCGTCCCCCGCTCTCGTTGGCATAGCAGTTGAGCGGCTCAGCACCCGCACCACAACTTCCACGCTGCGTCGAGGCATACGCAAATCCACAACAATCCGAAGCCTTCGAATTCCCAATACAAACATTGCCGTCGCCCGAAGGCGCCACTCTTAACTACGCTATTCCACAGTATTTAAAAATGATTAACAAGCTTAATCATATGCTAAAGGAAGTGGGTGAGCAGTCTACAATTAGGATTGCATGCAACGTAGCGCTTTACAAGCTAAATGAGTATTATACTCTTACAGCAAACTAGCAGTATAGCCACCTAAGTGTAGCTACAATTTGTGAT